TTAGCAACCAACTGGTGAAAATAAAAGTATTTAAAAAATGGATAGACTTTTTGTATTATACTGCATTTTAATTAGTAAATTTAAACTGTTCTTTGGTGTAAATTATTTTGTTATTAAGTTAATTTTTCCCAAGTCTAATTTATTAATTTATAAAATATAAAAACGAAAAAACAAAAATTTATTTAGTTTAAGAAACATTATTCTCAATAAAGACATATGTCACTCACTCGAGAACAATACTAACACATTCATAAATTACACAAAGTTCGTCGTCATCAGTTTCAAACTAGATATACCCATGCATTATATATACCCTTAATTTTTCCAGAAGTGATCGATCCGCAATTATACACTGACAAAGTTGAGTTTTGAATGTATTGAAAGAGTGTAGATAACTTATACTAGAGTTTATTCTATTATAAGGCTGTGCTCCTTCAAAAGTAAGCATTTTTTTGCCATAGTTAGTTCTAGTTTTGATTAAGATAACTAAGCTAACTCGTCGAATATTACGTTGACTGGTTTGTGTATGTTGGGTGAGTGTTATGTTCGTGTGTACACTTTTGGTAAGAATTTTTATGATGATAATACATGGTCGTAATAGATGTTTGATATTCATTATTTTGTATCTATATAAATTTAGCAGGTTGGTGCTAAATATGGATAGTTGAACAGTATTTTTATGAGTTTGTTTTGGGTAATTTGAAGTTTTGACAGATTTGTTTTTGCAGTACTGTCCCAAATTTCAATCAAATAAAGTAGATGTGACTTCACTAGGGAATTATTGATGGTGTGCTGCAATTTTGGTGGGATGCAACGATCTATGTTACGCAATGACCCGGTAAGAGATTGCTTTTTATGTGTTCAATGTGAGCATTCCACGTGTGTGCAAGTGAGCAGTCGATTCTGAGATCGCGAAGTTTTTCACAGGTTTTTTGCTGCAGAAGCACATTGAAATAATAGTGGGTTACATGGGGGGAATTATTTTATTTTTTTGCCTTAAATATAACATAACATGTTTTGGAGATATTTATTGTAAGGAGATTGAATTGAAACCATGCTAAAATAAAGAATATAATTATCTCACAAGAAATAGCCTATGTCTTGTGAGATAATTTTATGAATCCATTTATTAAATTATTTCCTCCAGGATCTCCTGACGTTACGTTATACTTTTCGAATCCTCCAGAATTCGAAGTAGTACAAAACAAGAGTCATCAGCGTATAAGTTAAGGAAGAAGACCACGTAGTTTAATTTCGTGAATGTTATTTATGTATAATACTTATATTAAAAAGAGCAAGGGACCCTGAATAGATCCCTGTGGGACGCCATATCTAATGTGTAATGCATCACTTTGGTGACTTCCAACCATTTTAGTTTAACAATGTAAGTAAGTGCTCTTTTTTTTGATAAAAGTACCAAGAACTATATTTTTACTATCTACATTTTTTCTGAGTTTAGTAATGTAAAATTATTTAGCTAACTCTTCCTATTATTTATTTTTTATTTTTCTGCAGTCTAACCTTTGCAGCTAACCTCTTGACTGTCCCTTAATATTAGCTAATTGTCATTTACACATTGTTTTACTAAGTCCAATTATTTAAAGTTCTAAAACTTCGTTTAGTGATATTTTTTTTGACCTGCCGTTTTCAAATATTTTTTGTGTTAATATATCTCTTCCAGGAAGATTTTTTAATAAAACATCTGTTTAGTTTTTCGCGTTGATCTTGCATTGTGGTTGATTTGGCTGTGTGATTGGAGGCTGTGATTTAATATTTGAGAGGTCGGTAGAAACAAGAATTTAAAACATAGCGCGGTAAGTAGGCGTTTAGTGCACAGGCATAGACCCGCGTGCGCTTAGACTAGATAACCGATCTTTTGCTGTGGTTACTTTTTAGTTACTCGTATTATGTAAATACTATTATATTGTTAAAGAATTATGGATGAGAATCATGGAAATAAACTGCGTTCATCGAAAGTAATACCTAGTTTTAATAAGTGCAGGTTTTAGTCCCAATAGTCGATAGTCGACGATTGGACAATCATCGACTATCGTGTTCTTTCTGTTCGGCTCGATTTACTGGTGTTGCGAAGAGATGTTGATTCCATTTGCATTTTCTATCGCGTTTAGCACATGGAGTACTCTGAAGATCTGAAGAATTGTTTGGGTTAATTCTGGTTGCCAAATTCCACCAACGTACATCGCGATAAAACTTATAATACCATCCACACCATCTGGATGCTTGGTGGTCCACCACTGTTCGATTTACTAGGAGTTTTCATCTCCGTCACGGCTTCTATGTGGAACTTTCTGGACCGATATGACTTAGTTTACCTTCAAGAAATGAGCTTAAACCTTTGATAAGGCTGCTGGCAATGCACCTGCAATTCCTCTGGTGTTGCAGTTGTTCGTAGGTACGCTCGCTTGCACCCTCGGTAAAATTTAGAATCATTTGGCAGGAGGGAGAGTGGCGGGCGAAGGGAGTGTCCTCTACACCCCAACACCACTCCCATGAAAGTGTAATAGACCGTTATGGAGAAAAATTAAAAAGAAAATCCCATAGATGCACCTCAAAATGACTATCTTTATTTTCCTCCGGCAGTAGGGGGGACAGGGAAGGGGGTAGCGGGGATGCCCCTATCACGACTGTCAGAATTTCTTAGCGCTTTCTAGTATCTTTCTGGTCGAATACAACCATTATTATAAGACAAAATACTTTATTTTTAGCGTTATTATAACGGAATATATAGTCTTGAACTGCAAAGCAGAGCTTAAACTTAAATTATGGAAATATTTATATTTAATGTTTAAAAACCATACAATAAAATCGCTAAAACTGTGCACTTCAACGTCATTTTTTTCTTATTCTCTTATTTGAATATAATTATTTTATGAAATAAATCTATTATAGTTATTTTATCAAAATACCGGTAATGCTAAATATCCCAATTTACTAGTTCATTTTACTTAATACAACATAAGTCCTTGTGAAATTTATGCACTTATGTTAACTGCCCCTACAATATACTTAGGAGAAATTCCTAGTGAGGAGCAACGTTATTATCAAACAAAAACAAAAATAAGAGCCGTGGTAGCTTGAGAGTTAAGCGCTCGACATAATCGCGAGCAACCCAGGTTCGATCCCCGCCGAAACCAATGAAATTAAAATGGGTAATAATTTTTACAACTGTTATTTAAACATTAGGGATATTATTATAATCAGTTAAAAAAGATTATGTGCAGATATTTAATTTTCTGATAGTTGATAAATTATTACAGCAGTAAAATATGAAAAATAGTAAAATGAAAAAAAAAATAGCGGTCATTTCATCCTACAATTCAGATTCAAAAATTATTCAAGCAGTGTAATAACTGAATGGCCAGTAAAATTATGAAGTGGACAGTTAGATAAATAGTATGAACAGTTCACGGTGAGCGGTAACATCCGAACATCACTTTGATTGAAAAGGGAGGTAATCTTCCGTTAAAGGGACGGGACTTAAAGTCATACTCTCTCTCCAGTGTCATATCGCATGACGTACTATTTTAATGCATTCCGCCGTTGCTCTTCTTGCGTGTGTTCCCTAGTGTACACAGTTACAGTAGCTTTTGTTTTGCCCAGAAATACTTGAGAACCCAGAAATACTTTCAACCGTAATAGGTTAGATTAGAAGGTGTTGTAAAAAAAATAAACCACGAAGGATGTGGCGGGAGCAAAGCGTAGCGTAGGTCTTTTATCACCCAGAAATACTTGAGCACCCGGAAGTACCCTTAGTTGAAATACAAGTGAAAGAAAAGTGAGTGAATTCATTTTTTGACGTGATAGAGTCATGCTGCAGCTGTATTACATGAACAGTTGTAGTACGAATGGGTCGGCTATACTGGGGATGGACTACGCTCTCACAGAATACTAGCGTAGAATAGCAGCTTAATGCTGCTGTGTTTCGTATGGTGAGTGTAGAGAACCGGAGACCCGTTTTACTGGAAAAGAGGCATTTCATCTCAGTCCTTATGGCTGACAGCGTATCTTTAATTTGATTTGCAAACCAGGATAGAAGCTGATGTGAGCCACAGCAACCACTTACCAATAGGTGGACTGTGTGCTTGCTCCTCACCCTTGTCTTATAAAATAGTTGAAATAAAATGTTTAGTAGGAGATTGCTTGCCGACTTATTCCGATTTTTAACTTCCTTTTAATAACTTCCCATTCAGTTATATTACTGCTCAATATTCATTTAACTGTTCATTTAAATATTTTGTCATGAACCATTTCTATTAAGTTTACTGCTCAGTTTCCTACGGAACATGTTAATAAACATACATTTTGTAATTCTTAACTTAACAATTATTAAATATTCAAGTGTGGTATGTTTACATTATGAATCAGAATAAAAGTATATCAAACGTTGATATATATATTCTTAGTCCTCTCAATAGAGTAAAAATGTAAAGCCGACATCAATTTACCTCATAACCCATTACGTGGAAATCATTTTATTATTTTAGTTCCAATAGTATCAAGATGATTTGTGCTAGTTGCTTGGCGTTTGCCAAGTCACTCACACAGGGATAACATTGTAGTGTGCGGTAATATTACGCCGTTTTTGAGCGATCGTGTATATGTTAACCCGCGCACATTTAAATACACGATCTTAAAGAAATATACACAAGTGTTGCCTTTAACTTTATTTGTTCAAGTGTAACTATTTATATAGCAATTTAACAAGTGGTAAAATTAAAAATTTTGTACAATTGACTTCAATATAATTAAAATAAGAACATCATTTAATGTATTCGAAATCAATTAAATACGCATTATTAAATATACTCAATAACTACTAATCAGATCTTAATTTAATTTATATGGGACTACACGAGAAGCACCAGCTTTCAGCATCAAGCAGCAGTTTACCCCGAGCAAAATTTCTGAGGTAATACTAAAAAAAAACATGCAGTCGAATGGAATATCTTATCCTTTTTGAAGTCGGTAATAAAATTATTTTAAGCATGTCTCAATAATTTACGTAGCCGCAAATAAATTAACGTCTTAAAATCTTTGGCAATAAGAAAATCTAAATGTGAAAACTGTTCATAAGGCACTTTGTACAGATCTATTACATTCCCTAGCCTTTTATACAGTTTATTTAAATCCCTCGGGTCAGTAAACCAGTCTGCTTCACTATAGAACATTGAAACAGGTGCTGTAACATTCTGCAAGTTGTAAAGAGGTTGCACATTTGACCCGTATAAATCTAAATTTGTGATATCCCCATAATCGAATTGTTTAAAATCTCCCGATACAACACCCTGGCCGTAATGAACGAATTGCTTAACAGACGCACCTGATGGTATGTGACTATATAACACCGGCAGGTTAGTCACGTTCAGTTGACCAAAATCGAGCCCCAAGAAGAGGAAAACAATGTTACTGCAAATGGTTTTCGCCAACGCTCCAACACCGCAAAGTAGCCGTCTTAAAACTCTCGACGCACTATTGTCTGGTAGAACCTCGTTAACACCCAGGCTTTGCGTAATGCTGTAAAAAAATGGATTACCTGGGGCTAGAAGTCTCAATATCGGTGATTTTACATGCGTCAAGAATGCTACAGGTGCTAACGACACCATAAGAGATATTTTGCTGTTGTATTCAGGTCTCTGGGAAGCCATTACGAAGAACGAAGTGGTGCCTTGCGAGTGACCTATGTATTTAAGTTTACTCGTTTTAGTAGCTTGGAGCACATAATCTATCATAGCTGGGAGATCGTAACATCCGATCTCATGCCATGAGAAGTCCCAAAAGGCTGATTGCGAAGGATCCAGGTCCAGATGTTGGCGTGAGTGCTTATTGCCACGACTATTGCCCATCCACACGTCATACCCATCATCTGATAATAGATAAGCCAGTCCACTCTCCGGACCCGCTACGGCAAAATCGTCAGAGCTTCCAAGGAGACCGTGCATCAGGAATACTGCCGACCCATTGTTTGGAATTCTGTACATTGATAAGTTATATCGATCCTTGGTTATTACCTGATGTTTCTCTATCGGATAGCCATATTTTTTCACCAAATCACTCATACTAAATGTGATGTCTTCGTTATCAAGACCGGCGTTGAATTCACTAATAATTTGATCTGTCAGTTCTACTCTATCGTTGTCGCTTATGAATGTTGGCAGTTTCATGTCCTTAAGATCAAGGGATAGATCTCGGGATACTTGTGGAACTTGCTGAACAATCGGAAGTTTTGTTTTATCGTTCACCAAACGCCGCTTAGAGTCTACGATACTGAATAAAGGGCCATTCTGAGCTTCGCAAGACAGTAGAACAAGTGTAAGCAATAACGCGCGGTCAAACATTTCACACTAACTACTGTTACATGTTCTTTCGACGGACTGATCGCCTCTGGTGGTGTTGAACGTGGCTATAGTATATTATTCTTAGAGTTCCGTGAACAAATTACGGGCCCTCTTACGTTGTCATATGCGTCTTTCTATATGTCACAGCTATTTATTTTCAGACTTAAGACTGAAAAGATAATTAAATAATATTTGATGAAATTATCGTTTGTGTAAAACATTATTGTTTGGACTTAATGTAGGTAGTATTTTGTACCCATGACCATGGCGTGTTAAAAATTGTGGCAGGTGCCTTAAATAAATAAATTATAATAAACAGATATAAACATAACACGTAAAATTTGGCTTATAAATTACACCAATATATATTATACTAATTATTTTTAACACTCGTTGGTATATATATATATATATATATACATATATACCATAGACAAAAACATTTCGAAATCAACAATTTTTTTTTCATTTTATTTGCTTTTTATTTTCAAACATAAGCGGTAATTCATAAATTAAACTGCATGCGGAAAAATAAAAAAACTTTGCAGCACATAACCTATGATATTAAATGTCAGGACGTCTGCCAAAAACAACTAACTAGCTATTAGTTTATTGATTTAAATTTAGTTTTTTTTCATCCTCTTCATAAGCCATAGTACAAGAAAGAACCTAACGGTGAATTCCTTTATCCAACCTAGAGATACTGGAATAGTGGTCACATTTAACGTAAATACGTACATTAAATTCGTCAAAACTGCTTAGTATTTGATTTCATATCAGTTCTTCACTTATTACCTGTGTTAATAATTTTATTTGATTTTATATATATATATATATATATATATATATATATATATATATATATATATATATATATATATATCAGTCACAGTCCATTGATGGTATGGCCTGTATCTACACCTATTCTACATATTTGCAATAACCGGCCAAATTTGTAAAGGAAGTTCAGAATAATAACAGAGTAATATATGCAAATGGTGAAGAATAATTTATTAAAAAATCTTAAACATTTTGTCGTATTTATCTTTTAACTGTTGTAATGCATTATTTTACCTGATTTTACTGCGCACGTACACATTTATAAGGCTTGACCAGTAGGCAAAAACGTAGTTGCCCATAAATCAAAGTAAAATCCTTATATACTTACTCGTATTTTCAAAAATAATTTATATATTTGAATTTCAGTTTGAATTCGGCTACTCTTTGAAAAACACATATTGGGTTGGAGTTTTCGAATAGTGTACCCTTAATAGTAAACAATTTGCCGATATAGCCGGTAAAATATGATAGATCTGAAATCTTCAGATCAGTTGAAGAGCGAAGTACCCTGTCGTGGTTGGAAAAAAAGTATTGAAATTTGTCGATTCGAATTGAAATTAGAGGTTCGAGTATATTAAATATTATTAAATTATTTTAATAAACTGTTAGGTATTTTTATATTATTTACCTCTTTGAGGCAATCAACGGTGGAGACCAGTTCTACTGTGGACTTTTATAGGCTGACATGGGTGAGGTATTTTTAGCATTTCACGTCCCCTTTAGAGAAGTTGGACATATTCGGCTATATGATGGCTCTTTTATGTAACGGTAATCATCCTTCTGCTTCATCTTATAAAGTAAAGTAAAGTTACAGCACAGCACAGGCCTCCCCTCATTTCTGAGAGGGTTTTAGGGCAAGGAAGTGTCCGCCGCGCTGCCCCAATGCGCGTTGGCGTACTTCACATGTTTTTTTTTCTTATTACTCGGACATGCGGTTTCCTCACGATGTTTTTCTTCACCGCCGAGCACGTGGTAAATCAGCACGGGGATCGAATCCGGGTTACTCGCGTTCTGTTATATTTACAGCGTGAGTTACCCATTTGAGATACTTTATCTTATATCAACCCGTAAATGATCACTGCAAAATATGAGTTTTTTCTATTGAATTTTCATCGTCAATAAGCAGGTGGATTGGCGAAAGTTTTTATACGTAGTAAAGCCACGCTGCAGCTATATTATTGTTGTGTATGAATGAGTCGGCTCGACCGGGGAAGGACCACGATCTCACAGATTACCAGCGTGAAATAGCAGATTAATGCCGCTGTGTTTCATGTGGCGAGTGTATAGAACCGGAGCCCCGATATAGTGGAATCGAGGCATTCCGTGTTAGTCCTCAGGGGTGACAAAGTATCATTTTGATTTTTAATTGAGGTTAAACGTGGATATCTATGGCCACAATATCCACTTACCATCAGGTGGAATGTGTGCTCGTTTGTCACCCTTATTCTATATAATAAAGTAGTAATAAAAGTCTCACATCTTTGACGCTTCCATGTTTCCCTTCTTCATCATCATCATTACAGCCCTTAACAAGTCTACTGCTAAAAATAGGCCTCGCCCAAGGTGTGCCACAAAGCACGGTCCCGAGCCACCTACATCCATCGACTGCCTGCATGTCTTACCAGGTCGTCACTCCATCTAGTGGGGGGTCGCCCTACATTTCGCTTACCGGTACGAGGCTGTCACTCGAGAACCTTTTTTCTCCAACGGTTGTCGGTTCTTCGAGCTATATGGCCGGCCCATTGCCACTTCAGCTTACTAATCCGCTGGGCTATGTCGTTCACTCTGGTTCTACTGCAGATATCCTCATTTCTAAGTTAATCACGTAGAGAAAGGGAGTCGACTTTGAGCGTCCTCATACGGCCAGCAGTGAAGGACCACGTCTCGGTTCCGTAGGTCATCACTGGCAGCACGCACTGGTTGTACAACTTAGTTGTCAGGTTTTAAGGTATACCTGACGAGAAGATTCGTCGTAATTTCCCGAACGCTGCCCAGCCGAGTTGAATCCGTCGATTGACCTCTCGGTCGAAGTTGGACTTACCTAGTCGGACTATTTGTCCCAGGTAAACGTACTCGTCAACAACTTCGAGCTTAGTGCTCCCAACAACTACTAGCATAGGTGTGACGTGGACATTAAACATGATCTTTGTTTTGTCCATGTTCATCTTAAGACCTATCCGTTGGGAGGCACTATTGAGGTCAAGTCTTTCAGAAGCTCCGCTGTAATTCCATCCTCGCCCGGGGACTTGCCGTTTTTAAGGTGCTGGAGAGCCATTCTAATCTCGCTCAGACTGACGTCCGGGATATCATCGGAATAGTGTCGGATAAGACTTGCTCTTGGATCGTTACTCACAATTGCGTGTGGCTTCAACGATGTTGTGTACAGCTGCCCACAGAACCTCTCAATCTCACTCAGAATCTCAGGTGTCCTAGAAACGATGCTGCCACACTCAGTTTTCAGCTTTGACAGTTGGCTCTTACTGGCAGACAGATCTCTGGCAAAGAATTTGGAGCCCTGGTTCCGCTCGATCGCTTCTTCAATACAAACAGTGTTAAAGTTGCGTAAGTCTCGCCGCATGCATTTGGAGATCTGTCTGTTGAGTTGCCTGTATGCTGTCAAATCTGTTAACGATTGCAGCCTCATCTCCCGTCTAACAGCCATGAGATTAAGAGTGTGATCGGAGAGTTTTTGTGTTCTTCTGCGGCGGGTCCTGCTGAACTTAGCTCCGACCGCATGGACAGTTTCCACGAGCTTGTCATTCATATCGTCCACGGCATTGCAATCTTCTAGGCACTGAAAGCGGTTACGTAACTCGAGCTGAAAGGTTTCGGGATTCGGGATTAGAGCACGAGGGGTCTCGTCTTGAAACGCCGTAGCGTTGACTTCATTAGACGAGAGCTCTCCAACTTAACGTTTAGGTTCAGTGTGCCTCTAACCATTCGGTGTCGCTGCCACTTTTCACCCTTGCGATCACTGAGACATCACTGAACAGTTGGCGTCTGGTCGTCATAATGAAGCAAATCTCATTTTTTGTCGAACCGTCGGGGCTCGACCGGGTCCGCTTCCTGTGGGGCCGCTTCCGGAAGAAAGAGTTCACCATAAAGAGTCCCTCTTTCTCCATAAAGTCGGCCAGCTGCTGGCCCCTTCGGTTCCGTTGCCCTACTCCAAATTTACCTAACTTCAGCTGACCGTTTTCTCTTGTGTCTAGTTTTGGGTTGAAGTCTCCCATCAACACCGTGTAGTGGGTTTTGGAGGAATGCATGGCTCTGGAAATATCCTCATACATTTCCTCCACCTCCTCATCGGGATGTGCCTAGGTTGGTGCGTAAACCTGTATGACCTTCAGCGAATACCGTTTGGTGATGCTGAGTATCAGGTACGCGACCCTCGTTTACACACTCCCAATCTTTACAACGTTGTTGCCGAGAGACTTGTGGACGATAAATCCGACACCTCCTTGGGACAGATGGTCGCCCTCCCGGTGATAGAACAAGTTGCCGGACTCGAGGATTACCGTGTCTTCCCCCTTTGTTCGGACCTCGGATAATCCAATAATAAGCCAGCGCAACTTGTACTCTTCTTTCATCTCCAGTATCTTCTCGTATGTCCTCAGGGTGCGTGCGTTATATGTTGCCAGGTCAAGTCGTCGTAGGTGGCAACTGGACCTCCACCGGAGATTCTTAGCACCCTCTGTCCCGCCGTTACCATGGTTGCCACCATAGTCAGGAACAGCGGGACGCCGGGGACTGGGGGCCATTTGTTTGCGTCATTATTCATGGGGGGTATTTGCCATAGTTGCCACGCATGGCGAGCGGGTTGGCAACCGCGGTTTTTTTATTATATCACTGTTATTATCAGGAAGATGCTGCTGCCCATCTCCTGCCTGTTATGATATGGGGTACTGGATATTCTCAACCGCCACTACACGGCAACTCCTCCCTCCCTTCTTATTCTAGAACAACTCTTTGGACAAATATACAGTAATAGAGAGAAAGAAATCTTTATTTGAAACTAAATTATAAACAATTGCACCACATGAATAATATTAAGACTCAGCATTGCGCCGCGCTGATATTCTGCTTGTGCCCTTTTCAAGAACTCATCAGCAGTCGCCAAAAGTGTTTTGTCTTTACTAAGTGAAAATTGAGGATCACAAAGT